CATTTTTGAACAGACTGCTCGGTTTAACTCTCTGTCTCCGGACGGAGAGGAACCCGAAGGAGGCTACGCCGAAGGGCGGAGTCTCCTTCGGGAGGTAAAATGGCCCCGAACCCGTTTATACGGGTTTATTTTTTTGCAGCCCACGTTCCCCAAGACGTGAGTCAGCCGTTCATTTTTGAACAGACCGAACTCTCTGTCCCGGACGGGAACCCGAAGGAGGCTGCGCCGATGGGCGGAGTCTCCTTCGGGAGGTAAAAACCCTGAACCTTTATACGGGTTCAAATGGGCTATTTTTTGGCCGAGCCTAATGGTTTCCCCACGTTAAAAGGCGGGGGGGGTGACTCAATATCGTGAGTCAGCCGTTCATTTTTGAACAGACTGATCGGTTCAACTCTCTGTCTCCGGACGGAGAGGAACCCGAAGGAGGCTGCGCCGATGGGCGGAGTCTCCTTCGGGGAGGTAAAACCGGCCCTGAACCCGTTTATACGGGTTCAAATGGGCTATTTTTTGGCCGAGCCTAATGGCTCGGGAATTCCCACGTTAAAAAGGCCTTGTGCCACATGACACCCTCGTGGGGGGGGGTGACTCAATATCGTGAGTCAGCCGTTCACTTTTGAACAGACTGATCGGTTCAACTCTTGTCTCCGGACCCCGAAGGAGGCTACGCCGAAGGGCGAAGTCCCTTCGGGAGGTGAACCCGTTTATACGGGTTCAAATGGACTCAATTCCCACGTTAAAAAGGCCTTGTGCCACATGACACCCCTCGTGGGGGGTGACTCAATATCGTGAGTCAGCCGTTCACTTTTGAACAGACTGATCGGTTCAACTCTCTGTCTCCGGACGGAGAGGAACCCGAAGGAGGCTACGCCGATGGGCGAAGTCTCCTTCGGGAGGTAAACTCCCTGAACCCGTTTATACGTGTTCAAATGGGCATATTTTTGGGCGAGGCCACGGGCTCGGGAATCCCACAATAAAAAACCGACCTTGTGTCACATGTTGCCCCAGTGGGGGAGACCCGTGAGTTTATTTTTGAACAGACTGGTTTAACAAACCCGAAGGAGGCTGCGCCGATGGGCGGAGTCTCCTTCGGGGAGGTAAAACGGGCCCTTTTATACGGGTTCCGAGCCTAATGGCTCGGGAATTCCCACGTTAAAAAGGCCTTGTGCCACATGACACCCTCGTGGGGGGTGACTCAATATCGTGAGTCAGCCGTTCACTTTTGAACAGACTGATCGGTTCAACTCTCTGTCTCCGGACGGAGGAACCCGAAGGAGGCTACGCCGAAGGGCGAAGTCTCCTTCGGGGAGGTAAAATCCGCCCCTGAACCCGTTTATACGGGTTCAAATGGGCTATTTTTGGCCGAGCCTAATGGCTCGGGAATTCCCACGTTAAAAGGCCTTTGTGCCACATGACACCCTCGTGGGGGGTGACTCAATATCGTGAGTCAGCCGTTCAAACAGACTGATCGGTTCAACTCTCTGTCTCCGGACGGACACCCTCGTAGGGCCGAAGGGCGAAGTCTCAAGGTATCCCTGAACCCGTTTATACGGGTTCCGTTCCGAGCCTAATGGCTTTCCCACGTTAACAGGCCTTGTGCCACATGATCGGTTCACTCACTCTCTGTCTCCGTTCACGGAACAGACTGATCGGTTCAACCTCTGTCTCCGGAAGGAGGCTACGCCGAAGGGCGAAGTCTCCTTCGGGGAGGTAAACTGGCCCTGAACCCGTTTATACGTGTTCAAATGGGCATATTTTTTGGGCCGAGGCCACGGGCTCGGGAATCCCACAATAAAAACCGACCTTGTGTCACATATTTGCCCCAGTGGGGGAGACTCAATATCGTGAGTCAGTCGTTCATTTTTGAACAGACTGCTCGGTTTAACTCTCTGTCTCCGGACGGAGAGGAACCCGAAGGAGGCTGCGCCGATGGGCGGAGTCTCCTTCGGGGAGGTAAAACCGGCCCTGAACCCGTTTATACGGGTTCAAATGGGCTATTTTTTGGCCGAGCCTAATGGCTCGGGAATTCCCACGTTAAAAAGGCCTTGTGCCACATGACACCCTCGTGGGGGGGGTGACTCAATATCGTGAGTCAGCCGTTCACTTTTGAACAGACTGATCGGTTCAACTCTCTGTCTCCGGACGGAGAGGAACCCGAAGGAGGCTACGCCGAAGGGCGGAGTCTCCTTCGGGAGGTAAACTCGGCCCTGAACCCGTTTATACGTGTTCAAATGGGCATATTTTTGGGCCGAGGCCACGGGCTCAGGAATCCCACAATAAAAAACCGACCTTGTGTCACATTTGCCCCAGTGGGGGGAGACTCAATATCGTGAGTCAGTCGTTCACTTTTGAACAGACTGCTCGGTTTAACTCTCTGTCTCCGGACGGAGAGGAACCCGAAGGAGGCTACGCCGAAGGGCGGAGTCTCCTTCGGGGAGGTAAAATCGGCCCCGAACCCGTTTATACGGGTTCAAATGGGCATATTTTTTTTGGCCGAGCCCACGGGCTCAGGAATCCCACAATAAAAAAACCGACCTTGTGTCACATGTTGCCCCAGTGGGGGGAGACTCAATATCGTGAGTCAGCCGTTCACTTTTGAACAGACTGCTCGGTTTAACTCTCTGTCTCCGGACGGAGAGGAACCCGAAGGAGGCTACGCCGAAGGGCGGAGTCTCCTTCGGGAGGTAAAATTCGCCCCGAACCCGTTTATACGGGTTCAAATGGGCATATTTTGGGCCGAGCCCACGGGCTCGGGAATCCCACAATAAAAACCGACCTTGTGTCACATGTTGCCCCAGTGGGGGGGAGACTCAATATCGTGAGTCAGTCGTTCACTTTTGAACAGACTGCTCGGTTTAACTCTCTGTCTCCGGACGGAGAGGAACCCGAAGGAGGCTACGCCGAAGGGCGGAGTCTCCTTCGGGGAGGTAAAACCGGCCCCGAACCCGTTTATACGGGTTCAAACGGGCATATTTTTGGGCCGAGCCCACGGGCTCGGGAATCCCACAATAAAAAACCGACCTTGTGTCACATGTTGCCCCAGTGGGGGGGAGACTCAATATCGTGAGTCAGCCGTTCACTTTTGAACCGACTGCTCGGTTTGAACTCTCTTCCTACGGGCGGGAGGAACCCGAAGGAGGCTACGCCGAAGGGCGGAGTCTCCTTCGGGGAGGTAAAACCGGCCCTGAACCCGTTTATACGGGTTCAAATGGGCTATTTTTTGGCCGAGCCCAATGGCTCGGGAATTCCCACGTTAAAAAGGCCTTGTGCCACATGACACCCTCGTGGGGGGGTGACTCAATATCGTGAGTCTGCCGTTCACTTTTGAACAGACTGATCGGTTCAACTCTCTGTCTCCGGACGGAGAGGAACCCGAAGGAGGCTACGCCGAAGGAGGCTACGCCGAAGGGCGAAGTCTCCTTCGGGGAGGTAAAACCGGCCCCGAACCCGTTTATACGGGTTCAAACGGGCATATTTTTGGGCCGAGCCCACGGGCTCGGGAATCCCACAATAAAAAACCGACCTTGTGTCACATGTTGCCCCAGTGGGAGGGAGACTCAATATCGTGAGTCAGTCGTTCACTTTTGAACAGACTGCTCGGTTTAACTCTCTGTCTCCGGACGGAGAGGAACCCGAAGGAGGCTGTGCCGATGGGCGGAGTCTCCTTCGGGAGGTAAAACCGGCCCTGAACCCGTTTATACGGGTTCAAATGGGCTATTTTTGGCCGAGCCTAATGGCTCAGGAATTCCCCACGTTAAAAAGGCCTTGTGCCACATGACACCCTCGTGGGGTGGTGACTCAATATCGTGAGTCAGCCGTTCACTTTTGAACAGACTGATCGGTTCAACTCTCTGTCTCCGGACAGAGAGGAACCCGAAGGAGGCTACGCCGAAGGGCGGAGTCTCCTTCGGGGAGGTAAAACCGGCCCCGAACCCGTTTATACGGGTTCAAACGCGCATATTTTTGGGCCGAGCCCACGGGCTCGGGAATCCCACAATAAAAAACCGACCTTGTATCACATGTTGCCCCAGTGGGAGGGAGACTCAATATCGTGAGTCAGTTGTTCACTTTTGAACAGACTGCTCGGTTTAACTCTCTGTCTCCGGACGGAGAGGAACCCCAAGGAGGCTACGCCGATGGGCGGAGTCTCCTTCGGGGAGGTAAAACCGGCCCCGAACCCGTTTATACGGGTTCAAACGGGCATATTTTTGGGCTGAGCCCACGGGCTCGGGAATCCCACAATAAAAAACCGACCTTGTGTCACATGTTGCCCCAGTGGGACGGAGACTCAATATCGTGAGTCAGTCGTTCACTTTTGAACAGACTGCTCGGTTTGAACTCTCTTCCTACGGGCGGGAGGAACCCGAAGGAGGCTACGCCGAAGAGTGGAGTCTCCTTCGGGGAGGTAAAACCGGCCCTGAACCCGTTTATACGGGTTCAAATGGGCTATTTTTTGGCCGAGCCTAATGGCTTTGGAATGCCCACGTTAAAAAGGCCTTGTGCCACATGACACCCTCGTGGGGGGGTGACTCAATATCGTGAGTCAGTAGTTCATTTTCTGAGCGACTGATGGGTTCAACTCTCTGTCTCCGGACGGAGAGGAACCCGAAGGAAGCTACGCCGAAGGGCGGAGTCTCCTTCGGGGAGGTAAAACCGGCCCTGAACCCGTTTATACGTGTTCAAACGGGCATATTTTGGGGCCGAGCCCACGGGCTCGGGAATACCCACAATAAACAACCGACCTTGTGTCACATGTTGCCCCAGTGGCGGGGAGACTCAATATCGTGAGTCAGTAGTTCAAGTCGAGTCAGAGGCAGTCCGAAACAGAGTCGCGTTCAGACAATTACTGCAAGACATTGGAATAGTGATACTGGTCGAGACTACATTGTTCTCTCTACTAAACCTGATTGTTCATACTAACACTTCTACTTCTCTGTATATATTCCTGTTTGTAATATATCTGTGTTATTCCATATCCGTGTTCGAGTTCTTCTTTATTGGTTCTACCTTGGACTATCACCGTGGTACAAGGAACCGGACCATAACAGATAGATAGATAGATAGATAGATAGATAGATAGATAGATCTGAACTTAGATAGATAGAACTGAACTTAGATAGATAGATCTGAACAGACTGAGAGATACAGATTGAAACAGACTGAGATAGATAGATAGATAGATAGATAGATAGATAGATAGATAGATAGATACTATATGTGTGTACTAAACCAAACGATATAACTATTTGTTTACTTCTCGTCTGTATTTTCACCTTTTCTTTCAGCTTCCCTCTGGATAGGAAAATCAGTCGTTAAGAGGTGATGTCGTCTCGAAGAAAGACAATGGTGTTTTGAATACAAAAGTGTCAATGATTAAAATGTCATTGAAGGACTATGTTTTCAATTTTATAGAAACATTAGTGAAGCCAAGGTGTGGCCATCCTATGATAGATGAGGGTTGGCTCTGTGAAATGGTTATTTGCAAGGCAAGATGAATGCCGGGCAGATTCTGAAGCTGTTCTTATGTTTATACAACTTCGACAGCCCGGGTGTTACAATTAGATGAATGAATTGGTTTCTTTGATGACAGGAAGAGTGTGTTCCCCCCGTTTCCCTGCCTACCCTACAAGAAAGTATTAAAACTCTTGGCTTTGAGCAATGCTCGAAAAATAATTATATGCGTTAAATGCAACTCGAAAGATATCTATACAAACTCAGATAAAACATCTTGTTAGCAAGCGAGATAGATAGATAGATAGATAGATAGATAGATAGATAGATAGATAGATAGATCTGAACAGGAAAGATACAGATTGAAACAGACTTAGATAGATAGATAGATAGATAGATAGATAGATAGATAGATAGATAGATAGATATGAATATACCGCGATAGATAGATAGATAGATAGATAGATAGATAGATAGATAGATAGATCTAAACAGACATAGATAGACAGACAGATAGATAGATAGATAGATAGATAGATAGATAGATAGATAGATAGATAGATCTGAACAGGAAAGATACAGATTGAAACAGACTTAGATAGATAGATAGATAGATAGATAGATAGATAGATAGATAGATAGATAGATATGAATATACCGCGATAGATAGATAGATAGATAGATAGATCTAAACAGACATAGATAGATAGATAGATAGATAGATAGATAGATAGATAGATAGATATGAAAGGTCTTCCCAGAAAAAAAAAGAAATATTTAAATCGAAGCAGCTATATATACGAACAAGAAACGATAGAAATAGGACATAAATAGATAAAACATAAATTGGAACATGTACAGGGTGCGATAGGCAAATTGTCGCGACTTTATTTTTTATTTTTTTTCGCGCTTTTTTTTTTTTTTTTGTAGACTGCACTTAATTACTTGGACACTGTCTGTGAGAAAAAGAACACCATGACGCAATTAACTCAACCAAAAATTTGAATACAGCATTCTTCACTGCTTTTATATTTGCACCAGAAGCTCCAATCCGAACATTTCAGAGAGTTTGTTTGTCAATCTTATGACAGATCAGAGGATTCGGAAAGAGTTAGATGAGTCGAATGGTGATTGTGAAGGCATGACGATTCGGAAAACTCACTCTGATCGATCTGATAAGAAAGGAATTCCCGAATTTGTTGATTAGGGCCTGAGACTCAACACGGGGGCCTGCATCAAGTCCTTGGGAAGGTAGTGTTGACCTGGGTCAAGAGGCTAGGCTACTGAAAGACTATATGTCTGGCAACAGGACTCTGTATCATGGCACACAAAGAGGTGAACACAGTCATGGCTGTCAAATAATTTACGACAATATCACACCTTACATCTGGCCACCTAACTAAACAGACTGCAATCCCCTTGACTATTACTTGTTGGGTGCAGTTGAGCGAGATCAACAAAGCTCTTTGTAGCAGGAAAGATGAACTGAAGACAAGGATTATGACAGCATTCACCGACTTAAACAAGGAAATCGCCCAGATTAGATGCAGGAGATTCCGAGGTAGTCTGGAGGCCGTGACTGAATAAATTTACTCTTTAGTAAATCAAGCTATTTTTGTGCGATTTTGGTAAATGTATCTGTTAAAATGAAATGTTAATGTTATTTTCATTCTTGCGTAATTTAAACGGCAATTTATCCATCGCACCCTGTATATATTGATAAGAACAATGGGAGAAAGACAGAAATAATTAAAGAAATAATGACAATGGAAAGAAAAAAGAAAGAAAGAAAGGAACATGAAAGAATGAAAAGATTTAAATCGAAACATTGTGAGATAGATAGATAGATAGATAGATAGATAGATAGATAGTAAGTTACGAACGTAGGTAGGTTAGTAGGTAGTGTTAAGTATATACGCTTAATTCTCCTGTGTTTTTGATAAAATAGATAAAAACGCGTGGAATCATCTCCTGGCTATGACTAAAATGAAGACCTTATTTTATTTCCCCAATTCCAAAGTTCAAAGAATATTTCAAACATTTCCCAATCTATTTTTTATCTTATGGGAGACGAAGATTTTACAAGATTGCACTGACAGGAAATTAGATTTTCTCTCTATTTCTTGTAATGACAAACTTGGAACTCATGATTAAATAAAAGACCTCGCGGCCACCAGTTCCTTTCCTGTCAGGTATCAAAATCATCACGCAATTTTATTGGCTTTTTTATTGGCTGATTTTTTTTTTTATTGGATGATTTTTAAAAACGTTTTATTGGCTGATATTTTTTTAATTTATTGGCTGACTTTTCTGTGATTACGTCATCGCTTGGTTGTGTAAATAGTTGTACCTTCACAGGCGTTCGCTCTGATCCTCACTGGGTGCTCCACACTTTCAGCTTTGTGTCACATTTAAGCTACGCTGAGAAAACCTTAGGGCACCTCCATATGGTGTAATGGTCAGCAAGTTTGTCTCGCTAGAGCAACTGCAATTGAGTTGTGTGTTTGATCGTCTATGAGGGCCCCGTGCATTTGGTCTCGGGCCAGATCTAATCTATGCTTAGAAAAAATCACTCGGGCTCTTCGATGTTGCGCAATGTGAAAAAAAACTTCGATGTGGAATAAAATTTAGTTAGCTTGTCTTGCTAGATCAATTACGACTGAGTAGTGAGTTCGATGCTCACTAGGTGCCTCATACTTCCGGTCATGGGCAACATCTAAGCTACGCATAGAAAATAACCTGTGTTTCTTTTGGGGATGTAAGTTTCTTTGTTTTCATTCCTTTTTAAAACTCTTTTTAAAAGCTCTTCCTGCTCATTATTAATGTTTCTGTTCCTAATTACACCACACCTTGTAACCCCTAGTGGCTCTACTGTCTTGTTTGTGGTAATACCGATTTAAAATAATGTGTGGGCAGAGTAAGCGTTATCGGCGCAGAAAGCAGGTCGATTTTTTTTCTTAAACATTACACCCCAAGCAAGACAGGCGTGGCACTAGCGCGCATGAGGGTGACAGAGGGTAGAGAACAAGAGTAAAGAGGCGTGTTTGGGGAGAGGATAAAAAGAAGGGTGAATAAGATCAAGGTATCAGAAGATGTCGATTGACATTACATTTGAATATTTGAAGATTATAGTTATCAAGGAAGCAAATAAGAGGAGGATAATTACACAGACGGGAATTGCAAGAGAAGAAGCTGTTTGAATAGAAGAGACGGTTACATTTAACCGTTTTGACAGTGAAAGGGTGAAACCTAAACGCCAACCTAGTAGCTCGCTTAAATTCAAGTAGTCTCGGAACCAGAGGAAGCAAAAGTTGCCGTGAAAATACTTAAAGAAGAGACAGAGAGAAGCCACGGTACGTCTGTGAGAAAGCGACTGTAGACTAGATTCCTGATCAGGACTTATCACATTGCATATCCGTCTCTGGATTTTGTCGAGACTTGCAGCGGAGGCACCAGACCATATAGGATAGCAGTATTCCATGCAAAGATGGATGGTTGAGTTATAGATGGACTCAGACGAGAAAAACTTTCTGGCACAACACAGAGAACCAACTTCCCTTGCAGTAGATGAAGCTATTGAGTCTCATTTGGTAGTAGGGTAGACTAGACTGTCTAGCCTTGGGTAGTAAATCTTCTAAGCCATCTTTCCTCATTATGTTCTCTAAAAATTTAAATTCTCTTTTTTCTGATGTTAGTATTGCTCGCCAACATCCTGAAGAAACACGACACAAAAAGAAATCTTGTAAAATATCTTATCTTGCTTTGATTGGATAAGGTAATAATTATGTTATGTTAATCGTAATGTTAGCCGTTTCCTTATAAGGAAACATTCGGCATTTAGTGACCTGGCAACCAGTACTAAGTTGGAAGGAAATTTATAAAATCATTCTCTTAAATCACTTTGAGAAAAAAAAAAGGTTTGTCACGTTTAGTAAGTGTTATCGCGTTTTCAGCATCGTTAGGGACTTTCTTCTTAAATTATTCTTGGATTTAATGTGAAAAAACATCATCTTGATTATGTCATTATTTTCTCTTCGGCTTACCTATATAAATTTCTTGGTTTGACGAGGATATTTTAGAATGTAACTCGAGATTATAGGTTAATATTTTGGTTTTATAGCATTTCTTTGTTCTTAGTTTGCTAAATAAGATAAAATAAATATCTTGTTATGGTCGAGTATAAAATTACTTTTCTTAAAAAGTTGTGAGTACAATACCAGGCCATAAGAGTGGTGAACCAAAAAAGGGAAAGAACTCAGACATCCGGAAGAGGCATGACACGTGTAACTAGAACAATATACTACGGTGGACGAAAGAAAGGGTTCGGTTCGAAATTCTAATCACCTGAAGAAGGCCGGGGAGTACAACGGCCGAAAAGTTATGAATATGGTAATGAAGATGAAGACAGAAGTTCGAATAATGTAAATACTCTCCAGCAATGGAATCACGGGAAGAGATTTCTCCGTTATGAAGTCCTTCCTTTCGGGTAAGTATGTGACGGTAGCTCTTAACTGGGAGTCCTCTGATGTTCACGAGACCAACGCAAATGTCTCTCGTCTTATCCTCTTGTTGTTTTATATTAACGATCTGCCTTATAGCATACTCCTATGTTAAATAGATGTTTATGCATGTGGTAAAACGGTATGAAGTTGCACCTCCCCTAATCTAGATAAGCAGAGCCTAGTTGCTGTTCTCTTCTCTGACCTAACTCTAACAGCGTATTCCGAAAAGAAAAATGAGCGCTCGTATTCAATCCCCTAGGAACTAAACTAGTAACATTCCATCATGAACAATCCGATGGTAAATTTTTGAGTATCGTTATGAAGAGGTGTTCTCTCAAGAAGGCCTTGAAAAGATATTTGGATTTAAGGCCACTCTAGAACCAAGCAGAACTTATATACAGGATCCATCGCTAAATTTGCTGGAAAAATGGTCGCTACACTGTGCCACTCAAGTAAGAACCTGACGTCTCTTGGTATGTTTTATCTTTTTAAGAGTGACGTCAGATCGAAAATGGATTACCGTGACCATATCTGGTTTGGAGTTGTCCAGTCTTCGGAGAATTCTACGCCGCTTTGTTAGTAATGAATTGATTTTCATCTTACAATCCCTTCGGCCACAAACGAAATTTTGCAAGCCTCTTGCTAGTTCTATCGTTTTTCAATGGTAAATGTTCAGAGGAACTTACAGTAGTGGTTCGAAAGTTATGCTTCCCCCTATCAAAACGTAACAGTAATACAGTAATACAAAGCACATGTACTGCATTTGGTTTATTCACTTTCATTGACACTGTCGCACATCGAAAAAGTTTGTACGAACACTATTTTAGCGTAGGAGCTCGTGTTAGCCCTCTGAAACAGGAAATTATAGGAGTCACAAGACTTTCGGGCCACCCTGTATATTTTTTAGTTCCACCAGTTCAGACCTTCATAACTAAGACCAGGTATGTCACATACACTGAGGCGAACAATTCTCATTCTCTTCGTATTCCACTGGTGAGAAGTAAGTTTCACTCGCTCAGATTCTTCTTTTGAAATGGTCCTTTTTGGAACCGACTTCAAGAGGATGCTTCACCGACCACTACAATCTTAACCTTTTCAATTCTAGATTTAATAGTTATCTTTCCATATACCCTCATAAGCTGCGTCCCTTACCGCTCATACAACAACCTCATCCAGCGACATTCTACCCTGAATTGCTCTTGGGCCTTGTATAGGGTCAGCAAATGATTACCTATAGACTCAACCAAATTTAACTGAAGATACAAGTATGAACACAAACAATGCTTATCTATTGACTCAAATATAAAGCCGACCAATGTCTAATATAGACTCGAACTTACGTATAACCACAAGTATAAACACGAACATACATTCAGATCCAGATATATACCTGAGCAATATTTACCTACGGTATAAACCCGAATAATGCTTACCTATAGAGTCAAGTATAAAATCAACTCATGTGTAGCTGTAGACTGAATAATATTCCAACTGTAAGGAGGAAGTTCCACTAAAACAGCTTTCTCCCAAGAACTATTATTATTTTGATAAAATGGAAGCTTCCCTGGACACGACAATCTTTATTTCTTCAAGTCTTTGGTGAATCATTATCTATCGTCCTTATCCTCATATTCTTCGCCTCCTTTCAACTGATTTTACATTCATATCACCTCGTTTCATTCACTGACACTCTACCATTGTGGCTCTTGGGCCTTGTAGTCGGTGTACTTTAGTCAAAGAAAATCCACTTTTGCCCAAGAAGTGATGTCAATTAAACGATATTAAAGAAATAGAATCTGTGGAGAGCTATGATCGCGTATCTACTAAAAGGACATGGAATTAAAAAAAAGAAATTATTGTAACTATTATTTCCCCAAAAGTCATGACAATTCAAAGATTACTAAGAAATGGAAGTTGTGGAGAGCCATGATCACTTTCGTGTTAAAGGGAAATGTCATTAAAAAATAAAGGCAATTTGGAATCGACTCCTTTCTCTTCTCCAAGCTGTTATGACAATTTGCAATGAAGAAATGGAAGCTGTGGAGAGTCACGATCACTTTCGTTTTGCAGAGACATAATTAAAAAAATAAAAACTATGTGGAAACTACATTTTTTTCAAGAAGTAACAATCTACAGCTGATAAACAAATGGAAGCTGTGGAGAGACATGATCACCTTCGTCTTGAAAAGATATGTCGTTAAAAAATAAGGCTATGTGGAAATTACTCCCTTCTCTTTTTCAACAAATCATGACAGTTTATAGCTAATAAAGAAATGGAAGCTGTGGAGAGTCATGATCACATGATGATGAAGGGACATGGTATATAAAAGTGCTTTAAATCACACAGTCTTTGGTGTTACTATTTCATGCCCATCTTCATATAAGAAACATCCTAATTAATTGTGTGCATTCGCAATATCCTATTGTAAGAATCAATCGAACGCTGTTAGTGCATTGGCTTTTGCAGTCAAAGCTATTCACTTCGAATTCTTTTCGAGCGAAAGGGCAGCGCCAGATCCTCTTTGACCTCCTACTTATCTATAATCCCAGAGAAAATCCAGTATACCTGCAACACGATACCGGGAAGCATCTATCGTGGAACAAGAGCCTGGGAATTTGGAAACGAGCAAAGAATGAAGAAAGACAAAAATGATAATGACGAGGAGGAGGAGGATGTGTACTCACCGGGGAGGTAAGGAGGGTGATTGAGTTCATTGTGCGCACATCCATCCACTGAACCTGGGATGAAGCTGGAAGGTTCATTCATGTCCTGTAAAAGAAAAACAACGAAATGAGACAAAAGAAAATGCACTTGAAAACCAAACCACATGGAAATCGATAAGCTATTTCTTTCTATACAAAATATTATACATCATTTCATATATATATATATATATATATATATATATATATATATATATATATATATATATATACAGAGTGCGATGGCTAAATTGTGGCCATCTTATAATTTTAATTTCGCGCATGCGTGTAGTTTGTTTTGGATTTTGCCGACAGTGCAGTTTAGAAATTGACGCAATTCATTCGGCGAGAAATTTAGAAACGGAAACACCATTACGGTCATTTCAGAGTGTTTGGGTGCCAATATGAGGAAAATGCAGAAGATTTGGAATGAGTTCAATGAATCTCATGGCGATTAAGGTGGAAGGGCAGCTCCGAAAACACTCTCTGATCATTCTGATAAGAAAAGAATTTCCGAATTTATTGGTCCTATAATATATATATATATATATATATATATATATATATATATATATATATATATATATATATATGTTGTAGTTGATGTAAAACATTTTAAAATTATGTTTTGGAAAATAAAACATTCCTATGACTCTAGTTACGTACGTAAAGAAATTTATACATTCAGTTAAAAGTAAAAATACCATCTTTGATAATGGCTAAAAGTATAACCGAAAGCGCTTGGACATATACAACATTCCGATTAATTCTACATAACATACATCCCGAAAAGAAGAAACTAATAAGAACACACACAAACAAAATTAATTAAAAAACTTAACCACTGTAACTTGTCAGTTTTTTTAATGAAACGTATAAAAAAAAGGATTGCTACCCAAATATACAGTTATATATATATATATATATATATATATATATATATATATATATATATATATATATATATATATATATATATATACATTCGTTCTCATCTTACTTGGATATATATTTATACATTCGTTCTCATCTTACTTGGATATATATATGTATATATTGATGAAGTAGAGCTGCCCTGGGCCAAGAGGGTGGCTGAAGAGAGAAGTGGAAATGAAATCTTATGACCATTACGGAGCCTACTATTTGACTAAGAGTTTCATAGATAGATAATTAAATGTGATAGATAGATAGATAGGTAGATAGATAGATAGATAGATAGATAGATAGATAGATAATTAAATGTGATAGATAGATAGATAGATAGATAGATAGATAGATAGATAGATAGATAGATAGATAGATAATTAAATGTGATAGATAGATAGATAGATAGATAGATAGATAGATAGATAGATAGATAATTAAATGTGATAGATAGATAATTAAATGTGATAGATAGATATATAGATAGATAGATAGATAAAATTATCTCCGAACGATTCACACTATTTAGAAATGTTTAAATGGTTTAAATTGTCTGCTAATTCACCCCAAATAATGAAAAGTTTCTTATCGCAAGTATTAATTCACGCCAAGAAATTATGAATTTTGTTTTTTTCATTACATTTTTGGCATTGTTTTGAAATTATACTTTTAATCAAAATTTATTTAGTTTGCCATAAAGTTGCCAGAGAGAACGGCCTCGACATTATTGGACATAATCCAATCCTGGGACTACGATTATGACGGATTGTTGGAAGGATATACACCTTTGAAGGACGATCCCAATTATATTCATCTGATTGGAAATTACAGCATGAATTTCGTTGACCCGGAAACATCAGCTCACACACAAACAATCGAAAGTAACTGTCGGAAAGCCAAAATGAATATTAAGTCCATTAAGTCGGGACTCATCGCAGCATAATAGACACCCATTTGTGTGAGTTCCTTTGGCGACATAAGGCAAAAAATAACAATGAATGCATTTTGGAAATAATTTTAAAGGACATTTCTGAATTTTGCTGTGAATTTGTTATATAGGAATAAAGTGTCACTGCCGACAGTTGAGTTTGAACATAGATAGCCAGTGAGCAAACACAGGCGATCCCATTATTGAATTAAGTAGATCACGTGGCCATAGAGGAAACGCGTATATGTAGGAAGTAGCTAACGACTAACGATCTCTATTCTCAGTCTATCTTGTATAAGAATGTGTAATTACTCTCTAAGCTTAACAGAAGAATTCTGATGAAATCGATCATAAACGAAAATGACATGTTCCTCAGGAATTAATCGAAGCTAACAATCGGAAGCTCATGAAGGATTGAAATATAGTTCATATATATATATATATATATATATATATATATATATATATATATATATATATATATATATATTTCAGGATCATATTCCAATTAATTCAAGATTTTCTTTTTCCTCCCACCATTGTTCAGTTGGGAAGAGACTGGGGACTGACACAAAACAATTTTAACCTGCTCTCTTTTTAGCAGAATAATTCAAAGGTTTTTTTTGGGGGCGGGGGTTTCAGTGATTCTTACAAATGCTGTCAATATGGCTAAACGTCTTATCGGAAAACTTGACAAAAAAGAAACTCAATTAGTTTAATGTTTTTTAGACATTAAACATTTTGTGGGATGGAGAATTATGCTGTTAATCGATTTGGACAATTTTGCTGATACACCCAGTATATACAAATGCCGTTTATTTTAAATGTCATTTTTTTTTTTTTTAATGAATAACTGTAATCCCAGAGTAATATTTAACCGTGCCAATTTTGTAATATCCAGATATACCTTTTAAATTCAAATTACGTAACGGTCAGTCTATACTGGAGAAGATTTCATTGTACATGAAACTCCGAGTCAAACTTTCGGTGAGGGATAATATCTATATATTTTTATACATACTCAATAGAACTTCTGTATTACATCATGTTTTACTAATACCAGCATTATATGTGCGATATATTATAATTGCATATATATTAGTGTTAGTGCAAAAATAATGGCGTAATAATGTCGTTTTTTAACGTTAAAAAATGACATTATTACGTCATTATTTTTGCACCAACCTAATATATATATATAGAGAGAGAGATAAAGATATTTTTATGTTTATACCTTCTTTTTATAGATACAAATATTTAAGTAAATGCCCTGTTTATAATAAACTTTATTAAACAGCATTTACCGGGATGAATGACCGAGAAATTTTTTCAGAAAATATTCGTCCTCCGACAGGATTCGAACCTGTATCATATACGCAACCGTCACTTAGCTTGACGTGCCTTAACCGATTTGGCCACGAAGGAGCGTTCGGTTAGCGTGGTCGAATTTACTGTATTTAAACTTCAATCTTCCATGAATCTCTCACGTACATTCATATCTGCTCATGGTGTATCAAATGTAAATATATATATATGCAAGAACGAAAGAGCGAAGTAGGTAAACCAAAAGTAATAACATAAAAATATCGTTTTGGCTTCTAGACGGAAAAAACAAAAATATGTGGGTGGGAGCGAGATGTGATCTATCTTATTGGCTTGGAAGAAATCCCAACATGCATCTGTATAATTTGTCTATTAATTTGGGGAGGGGTGTTTGATTTTGCAGTAATTCCTATAAGGTTTTCACCTTTAGTCCCGAAGCATGTGCTTCTTCTACCACAAATGTCGTCATGCGCTGAACGTTTTTGGGGGCATACATTCTAGCCTCTCCGAGATTCGGACATTGTCAAGAGAAGCATTATACCTGTGTTAGTCAGTGATGGGATCGTTCACGACGAGGATGAAAGAGGATCAAAGAAGTTCATTGTCTCTCTCTGGTTGCTTTCTTTATACACCAGGGTTGAGAGGGAAGATGCTTTTTTCTGAGGGCTTTGCTGAATGATGGGTGTCTCTAGCATGACTGGGTCGAGTGAATGGGGCTAACATAGCATCTCGAGCTTACCGCTTGAAGGTCTTGTTTTTTTTTTTTTTTGTTTTTTTTTTTCAGGAAAGACATATCTGCCCTACACAGTTAAGCTAGTGCAGAAGATTTTGTGTTTTTAGGGTTTTTTCCTGAAAATCCGATAACTTGGATAGGGAGGGAATGGCCATTGGCACTTTTTACTTTTTTATTCCCCAACATATTTCGTTTTTCATTTCCTCTCTCGTGACAAAAAACGTTGGTTTCATTTCGCGTTTTGTTATTACTTCTTTTTTTTACATGTTCCTACCGTACCTTTCGACCAGTTATCTTGTTTTTCTATCATATTTAGCCGCTGTGATTGTCCCATACTTTCATTTTCATTGTATATTTTTTCATTATATCATAGGATTATTTTTTTATTATTATGGATATAAAATTAATTTATATTTTAACCCTCTCTCTACAGGTTTGTAAATACGGATAATTAGTTTAGAATCTCATGGGATGCATGTTATCTTTTGGTGATCGTAGTATAGATGTGTTTTCAGTATAAATATGGTATTTTTGTTTGTTTTTTGTTTTACGCCATATCAACACCTCAATGGGTTATTTAATGCCGACAAGATTTTTATTGCTGGTTATATTATCTATCTATCTATCTATCTATCTCAGTATATATTGGTTTGGTTTGGTTTGATTTGTTTTACGGTATATCAACCTCAATGGGTTATTTAATGCCGACAAGATTGTTATTGCTAGTAATATTTTTTTTTTCCAAAAATATATTGTTGGTAATATTTTTTCAAAAATTTACTGCGGGTAATAACGTATTGCTGGTGATAATTTTCATCAAAAATGTATTGCTAGTAATAATTTTTTCAAAAAATTAGTGCTTGTATTAAAACCTATTTTTTAATTTCAAAGTGTTTTGAACCCTTTTGAGTAATTAGCTGGGACCTTAATAGGTGCTACCACCTCGAGTGAGGGTGAACGTTCGAACGCTAGCAATTAAGAGGTGGTTCCACGCTCCTCAAAACCTCCTGGGCAAAGGCCTTGATGTCGGATGTAGTCTATTCGTCTTACCCCGGACATGGTATTTTGGTAAAAAGTTCATTTATATATATGTGTGTGTGTGTGTGTGTGTGTGTGAATTGGACTAGTTAAGCTAAAGTTGGACCAGTGATGATGAACCTTCTCCAGTTTGTTTGTTTTTTTTTTGGTGGGGGGGGGCTTCATGCCGCATTTGTATTTAATGATACAATAAATACTTATGCCTATAAGGCTGAGGACCAACCAAAACAAATTGTATAAAAATATCCAAATACAAAATATCAGTTTTTCATACAGTCTTCATTAGTTTCGGTCGAACAATTTCTTTCAGTACTTTTTGAATATTCGTTGTATGAAGTTAAGTCGGGTAAAACGCCATGTTTTTGAATAATCCCAAACAAATCAAACGCACTAATTTTGTGACTTACCTGCAAACCATTTTTCTGCGACAGGTGCTCCTCTTTCAGTTTCTGGTTAGAAATTTCTGAAGCATTCAATTCCGACATTACTTACCTTCGCTTCAAGAGCTCTTGTTAAGTAAACATCAATGCGTCCGGCAAGGTCAGTTTGTTAAGTCAGCTGGCCAAAATTATCAATTCACTGAAGCGGCCAGACCGAAGATACAGGCCTGAAAGCGTCTTATCAGTCAGTAGACAATTATATACCATACAAAGTGCTTTTCTCTTTTTAATATCGTCTGGAGGTCAAACCTCAAATAAACTATGTTTATCTTTCAATTAGACGAGACTATATTTGCCTTTTAAAACACAGAATTATTAGTCAGTGGATAACCTCTGAAGGAGGACGAAAAGTTTGAATTCAAAACCACAGAGAGAAAACAACGAGAAGATACGTCATTATCTTTCAAAAGAAAAAGCATCTGGGATGCTGCTGTACAATCCCCACTTTCCAGTTCAAAATAGTTCACGCGGTCTTGCTGGCAATGACTTCTTTTCCGTCCTACTGCAAATCTTTCCCCAGACTCAATATCATAAGCCTCCCGCTATTTTTTAGCTATTTCCATGGCAAATGTTCCGATGAGATACGTTTCTTCGTGCCGCCAGCTCAGACATTTACAACCAAAACCCAACTTGTTGTATCCACAAGAGTGAATCAGCCTCATTCCTCCCATATTCTTCTTACGGTTATCTCTCCACCATATCACTCTAATCTTTATTTCTTCTTCCGCCTTTTATATCACACACATTATTTAGTACTCCTCTACCTCGAGTGGCTTTTTAAAAAAAAAAAACGTGACTGCACAGGAACAAGGCCCTTTTTCCAAATACTTTTGACAAAGTATGCCATCGTTGGTTGCCGCTTAAACTCTCCAGCTATAGTATTTCTAAAAAGTTATACAGGTCGGTCAATAAAGTTCGTTTTTACGGGGATGGGCTGAATGGTTTATAGGTTGGCAATAAAAGCGTCATGCGTGAAAATTTGCACGCGTTAATTTCAACTCTTACTCTTAATAACAGCATGGTTTCTCTCCAGGTAAACTGACATCTGACTTTTCCAAGACTGTTCTAGCCGTTGATCAAAAAAATCATCAACAGAAAATATGACGCCATCATCACTTCGATAGTAGCCAAGTGTTTTTTTTTTTTTTTTTTTTTTTTTTTTTCAAGTCAGGGATAATCAAATCAGGAAAATAGGGAGGATGATAAACCAAGTCAATGCCAAAGTTACGCACAAAAACCATTGAAACCAAGGGTTTCTTTGCTGGAACATTGTTCTGATGAAACAACTCCGTTTCTCCTGGGTGTTTGGTCTTGGTAGCCTTTCGTAACGGTCCCAGAAAGTTGGCATAGTACTCTCCAATGATGGTGTGGCCCTTTTGAAAATAGACAATAAAAGCAACTCTTTTGCATCCAAAAAACAGTATCTCGCCTTCTATGCAACGGAAACAAAATTGGCCTTATTTGGAGCATGAATTGTTTCTTTGTCTCCGGTTCAAAGTGATAAACCCGGCATTCATCTTGGATTAGGAAACGTTCAAGGAAACCAACTGAATCCGCTTCAAACAATGTCAGAATTTCACAGTGATGTGATCAGAATGTTACGCTTTTGTCAGAAAACGTGGCACGCACCGATCAGAAACCTTCGTCCTGCCAAGTTCATTGTGATGAATTATTCTCAACTCTCTCACGAGATGTACTAATAGCAATAGCTGTTTGAATTATAGCCAATCACATCTCATTTATCTCTATGAGTTGAACACGTTCAATATTTTCCTCAGAGGTGGCATTGCAGAACGTTCAAACTTTGTGTTCTCCTAATATAGCAAAATTGTCAGCATGAATCTCATTGGGGACTAAAGCCTTACATCTGCAGTTACTTGTTATACCAAGATAGCAAATTTTGTCCATCTAAAAGTTACATCTGAAGTCTTCGAAAAGTCTGATGTCAATTTACCCGGAAAGAAACAATGAAGTTATGAATAAGAAGAGCTGAAATTAATGCATGCATTACTCCTTCATAGTCAGTCTATAAACTTTTCATCCAGCTCTCGTAATGTCTGTCATCTGTGTATGCCGGCGTTCACCAAGGCTCTGTACTTGCTCTTACCCACTTTCTGATTTATATCTGCCTAAGAACATGCTCAGATCTTTATTGAATATCTATGCAGATGATGCAAAAGCGAATGGATTGACCTGCAAAAATTAAGGGTACCAGATTCTGGCAACTGGTCTCTCATCTAAGCTAATCCTGGCGAGAAGAAGGACTGGCTTGTAACATTCAATACGACTAAAGTTAAACTAGTAACGTTCCACCAACACCGAAAAGACCCTAATATGATGGATGGTTGTCCTCTCAATGATGCTCCTTGCTTTGAATACCTGTTGGGACTTTGAGCTCACCCCAGACCTCAACTAGAACTCATATCTCATCGCTAAGGATGCAGAAATAATGGTCAGTTCTTTGTAGCGTTCTGACTCCCAACTACGATACTCTAAGTTTACGAGAGCCAGATCAGACCAAAAATGGAATATTGGTGTCATATCTGGGTTGGAGCTGCCTTGTCGTCACTCGTTTGTCTTCGAGACAAAAAACGTCTAAGTGGTCTTGTGGGTAATTAAATGTTTTCCGCCCTACAATCCATTTCCTGCAGACGAAACGTTACAAGACTCTTGCTAATCTATCTATCTATCTATCTATCTATCTATCTATCTATCTATCTATCTGTTATGGTCTGGTCCCTTGTACCGCGGTGATAGTCCAAGGTAGAACCAATAAAGAAGAACTCGAACACAGGTATGGAATAACACTGATATATTACAAACAGGAATATATACAGAGAAGTAGAAGTGTTATTATGAACAATCAGGTTTAGTAGAGAGAACAATGTAGTCTCGGCCATTATCACTATTCCAATGTCTTGCAGTAATTGTCTGAACGCGACTTTGTTTCGGACTGCCTCTGACTCGACTCTTGACTAGACTTGAACTACTGATGATATTCAGTCACCCCCCACGAGGGTGTCATGTGTCACAAGGGCTTTTTAACGTGGGCATTCCCGAGCCATTAGGCTCGGCCAAAAAATAGCCCATTTGAACCCGCATAAACGGGTTCAGGGCCGGTTTTACCTCCCCGAAGGAGACTCCGCCCTTCGGCGTAGCCTCCTTCGGGTTCCTCCCGCCCGTAGGAAGAGAGTTTAACCGAACAGTCGGTTAAGACTTGAACGACTGATGATATTCAGTCACCCCCCACGAGGGTGTCATGTGGCACAAGGCCTTTTTAACGTGGGCATTCCCGAGCCAATAGGCTCGGCCAAAAATAGCCCATTTGAACCCGTATAAACGGGTTCAGGGCCGAGTTTTACCTCCCCGAAGGAGACTCCGCCCTTCGGCGTAGCTTCCTTCGGGTTCCTCCCGCCCGTAGGAAGAGAGTTGAACCGAACAGTCAGTTCAGAGTTGAACGACTGATGATATTCAGTCACCCCCCCCACAAGGGTGTCATGTGGCACAAGGCCTTTTTAACGTGGGAATTCCCGAGCCATTAGGCTCGGCCAAAAAATAGCCCATTTGAACCCGTATAAACGGGTTCTGGGCCAGTTTTACCTTCCCGAAGGAGACTCCACCCTTCGGCGTAGCCTCCTTCGGGTACCTCCCGCCCGTAGGAAGAGAGTTGAACCGAACAGTCAGTTCAGAGTTGAACGACTGATGACATTCAGTCACCCCCCACGAGGGTGTCATGTGGCACAAGGCCTTTTTAACGTAGGCATTCCCGAGCCATTAGGCTCGGCCAAAAAATAGCCCATTGGATCCCGTATAAACGGGTTCTGGGCCGGTTTTACCTCCCCGAAGGAGACTCAGCCCTTCGGCGTAGCCTCCTTCGGGTTCCTCCCGCCCGTAGGAAGAGAGTTGAACCGAACAGTCAGTTCAGAGTTGAACGACTGATTATATTCAGTCACCCCCCCACGAGGGTGTCATGTGGCACAAGGCCTTTTAACGTGGGCATTTCCGAGCCATTAGGCTCGGCCAAAAATAGCCCATTTGAACCCGAATAAACGGGTTCTGGGCCGAGTTTACCTCCCCGAAGGAGACTCCGCCCTTCGGCGTAGCCTCCTTCGGGGTCCTCCCGCCCGTAGGAAGAGAGTTGAACCGAACAGTCAGTTCAGAGGTGAACTACTGACAATATTCAGTCACCCCCCCACGAGGGTGTCATGTGGCACAAGGCCTTTTAACGTAGAATTCCCAAGCCATTAGGCTCGGCCAAAAAATAGCCCATTTGAACCCGTATAAACGGGTTCTGGGCCGAGTTTACCTCCCCGAAGGAGACTCCGCCCTTCGGCGTAGCCTCCTTCGGGTTCCTCCCGCCCGTAGGAAGAGAGTTGAACCGAACAGTCAGTTCAGAGGTGAACGACTGATGGTATTCAGTCACCCCACCACGAGGGTGTCATGTGGCACAAGGCCTTTTTAACGTGGGAATTCCCGAGCCATTAGGCTCGGCCAAAAAATAGCCCATTGAACCCGTATAAACGGGTCCAGGGCCGGTTTTACCTCCCCGAAGGAGACACCGCCCTTCAGCGTAGCCTCCTTCGGGTTCCTCCCGCCCGTAGGAAGAGAGTTTAACCGTGCAGTCGGTTCAGAGGTGAACGACTGATGATATTCAGTCACCCCCCCCACGAGGGTGTCATGTGGCACAAGGCCTTTTTAACGTGGGCATTCCCGAGCCATTAGGCTCGGCCAAATATAGCCCATTTGAACCCGTATAAACGGGTTCAGGGCCGGTTTTACCTCCCCGAAGGAGACTCCGCCCTTCGGCGTAGCCTTCTTCGGGTTCCTCCCGCCCGTAGTAAGAGAGTTTAACCGTGCAGTCAGTTCAGAGGTGAACGACTGATGATATTCAGTCACCTCACCCACGAGGGTGTCATGTGGCAAAAGGCCCTTTTAACGTGGGCATTCCCGAGCCATTAGGCTCGGCCAAAAAATAGCCCATTTGAACCCGTATAAACGGGTTCTGGGCCGGTTTTACCTCCCCGAAGGAGACTCCGCCCTTCGGCGTAGCCTCCTTCGGGTTCCTCCCGCCCGCAGGAAGAGAGTTTAACCGTGCAGTCAGTTCAGAGGTGAACGACTGATGATATTCAGTCACCCCCCACGAGCGTGTCATGTGGCACAGGGCCTTTTAACGTGGGCATTCCCGAGCCATTAGGCTCGGCCAAAAATAGCCCATTTGAACCCGTATAAACGGGTTCAGGGCCGTTTTACCTCCCCGAAGGAGACTCCGCCCTTCGGCGTAGCCTCCTTCGGGTTCCTCCCGCCCGTAGGAAGAGAGTTTAACCGTGCAGTCGGTTCAGAGGTGAACGACTGATGATATTCAGTCACCCCCCCACGAGGGTGTCATGTGGCACAAGGCCTTTTTAACGTGGGCATTCCCGAGCCATTAGGTTCGGCCAAAAATAGCCCATTTGAACCCGTATAAACGGGTTCAGGGCCGGTTTTACCTCCCCGAAGGAGACTCCGCCCTTCGGCGTAGCCTCCTTCGGGTTCCTCCCGCCCGTAGGAAGAGAGTTTAACCGTGTAGTCGGTTCAGAGGTGAACGACTGATGATATTCAGTCACACCCCCACGAGGGTGTCATGTGGCACAAGGCCCTTTTAACGTGGGCATTCTCGAGCCATTAGGCTCGGCCAAAAAATAGCCCATTTGAACCCGTATAAACGGGTTCAGGGCCGAGCGACCTCCCCGAAGGAGACTCCGCCCTTCGGCGTAGCCTCCTTCGGGTTCCTCCCGCCCGTAGGAAGAGAGTTTAACCGTGCAGTCGGTTCAGAGGTGAACGACTGATGATATTCAGTCACCCCCCCCACGAGGGTGTCATGTGGCACAAGGCCTTTTTAACGTGGGCATTCCCGAGCCATTAGGCTCGGCCAAAAAAAAGCCCATTGAACCCGTATAAACGGGTCCAGGGCCGGTTTTACCTCCCCGAAGGAGACACCGCCCTTCGGCGTAGCCTCCTTCGGGTTCCTCCCGCCCGTAGTAAGAGAGTTTAACCGTGCAGTCAGTTCAGAGGTGAACGACTGATAATATTCAGTCACCCCCCCACGAGGGTGCGTGTCATTTTTAACGTGGGCATTCCCGAGCCATTAGGCTCTTTTTTGAACCCGTATAAACGGGTTCATTCCCTCGAAGCCATTCGGCGTCAAAAAGAGAGTTTAACCGTGCAGTCAGTTCAGAAACCTGATATAAACGGGTTCTGGGCCGAGGCCTTTTTAACGTCCCATTAGGGCTCGGGCCAAAAAATACTCCGCCCTTCGGCGTAGGGCCTCCTTCGGGTTCCTCCCTTCGGGTTCCGTAGGAAGAGAGTTTAACCGTGCAGTCGGTTCAGAGGTGAACGACTGATGATATTCAGTCACCCCCCACGAGGGTGTCATGTGGCACAAGGCCCCTTTTAACGTGGGCATTCCCGAGCCATTAGGCTCGGCCAAAAATAGCCCATTTGAACCCGTATAAACGGGTTCTGGGCCGGTTTACCTCCCGAAGGAGACTCCGCCCTTCGGCGTAGCCTCCTTCGGGTTCCTCCCGCCCGTAGGAAGAGAGTTTAACCGTGCAGTCAGTTCAGAGGTGAACGACTGATGATATTCAGTCACCCCCCACGAGGGTGTCATGTGGCACAAGGCCTTTTTAACGTGGGCATTCCCCAAGCCATTAGGCTCGGCCAAAAAAGCCCATTTGAACCCGTATAAACGGGTTCAGGGCCGAGTGATTTTTTCACCTCCCGAAGGAGACTCCGCCCTTCGGCGTAGCCTCCTTCGGGTTCCTCTTGCCCGTAGGAAGAGAGTTTAACCGTGCAGTCTGTTCAAAAGTGAGCGACTGATAATATTCAGTCACCCCCCACGAGGGTGTCATGTGGCACAAGGCCTTTTTAACGTGGGCATTCCCGAGCCATTAGGCCCGGCCAAAAATAGCCCATTTGAACCCGCATAAACGGGTTCTGGGCCGACTAACCTCCCGAAGGAGACTCCGCCCTTCGGCGTAGCCTCCTTCGGGTTCCTCCCGCCCGTAGGAAGAGTTTAACCGTGCAGTCAGTTCAGAGGTGAACGACTGATAATATTCAGTCACCCCCCCCACGAGCGTGTCATGTGGCACAAGGCCTTTTTAACGTGGGCATTCCCGAGCCATTAGGCTCGGCCAAAAAATAGCCCATTTGAACCCGCATAAACGGGTTCTGGGCCGAGTTTACCTCCCGAAGGAGACTCCGCCCTTCGGCGTAGCCTCCTTCCTTCGGTTCCTCCCCCCGTAGGAAGAGAGTTTAACCGTGCAGTCTGTTCAAAAGTGAACGACTGATAATATTCAGTCACCCCCCACGAGGGTGTCATGTGGCACAAGGCCTTTTTAACGTGGGGGATTCCCGAGCCATTAGGCTCGGCCAAAAAATAGCCCATTTGAACCCGTATAAACGGGTTTCAGGGCCGAAGCGACCTCCCCGAAGGAGGCTCCGCCCTTCGGCGTAGCCTCCTTCGGGTTCCTCTCGCCCGTAGGAAGAGAGTTGAACCGAACAGTCTGTTCAAAAGTGAGCGACTGATAATATTCAGTTACCCCCCACGAGGGTGTCATGTGGCACAAGGCCTTTTTAACGTGGGCATTCCCGAGCCATTAGGCCCGGCAAAAAATAGCCCATTTGAACCCGCATAAACGGGTTCTGGGCCGAGCTTAACCTCCCGAAGGAGACTCCGCCCTTCGGCGTAGCCTCCTTCGGGTTCCTCTCGCCCGTAGGAAGAGAGTTGAACCGAACAGTCTGTTCAAAAGTGAGCGACTGATAATATTCAGTCACCCCCCAATGAGGGTGTCATGTGGCACAAGGCCTTTTTAACGTGGGAATTCCCGAGCCATTAGGCTCGGCCAAAAAATAGCCCATTTGAACCCGTATAAACGGGTTCAGGGCCGGTTTAACCTCCCCGAAGGAGGCTCCGCCCTTCGGCGTAGCCTCCTTCGGGTTCCTCTCGCCCGTAGGAAGAGAGTTGAACCGAACAGTCTGTTCAAAAGTGAGCGACTGATAATATTCAGTCACCCCCCCACGAGGGTGTCATGTGGCACAAGGCCTTTTTAACGTGGGCATTCCCGAGCCATTAGGCTCGGCCAAAAAATAGCCCATTTGAACCCGCATAAACGGGTTCTGGGCCGGTTTAACCTCCCCGAAGGAGACTCCGCCCTTCGGCGTAGCCTCCTTCGGGTTCCTCTCGCCCGTAGGAAGAGAGTTGAACCGAACAGTCGCTCAGGAGGTGAACGACTGATAATATTCAGTCACCCCCCCACGAGGGTGTCATGTGGCACAAGGCCTTTTTAACGTGGGCATTCCCGAGCCATTAGGCTCGGCCAAAAAATAGCCCATTTGAACCCGTATAAACGGGTTCTGGGCCGGTTTACCTCCCCGAAGGAGACTCCGCCCTTCGGCGTAGCCTCCTTCGGGTTCCTCTCGCCCGTAGGAAGAGAGTTGAACCGAACAGTCTGTTCAAAAGTGAGCGACTGATAATATTCAGTCACCCCCCACGAGGGTGTCATGTGGCACAAGGCCTTTTTAACGTGGGCATTCCCGAGCCATTAGGCTCGGCCAAAAAATAACCCATTTGAACCCGTATAAACGGGTTTCAGGGCCAAAGAACCTCCCCGAAGGAGAGGCTCCGCCCTTCGGCGTAGCCTCCTTCGGGTTCCTCTCGCCCGTAGGAAGAGAGTTGAACCGAACAGTCTGTTCAAAAGTGAGCGACTGATAATATTCAGTTACCCCCACGAGGGTGTCATGTGGCACAAGGCCTTTTTTAACGTGGGCATTCCCGAGCCATTAGGCCCGGCCAAAAAAATAGCCCATTTGAACCCGTATAAACGGGTTCAGGGCCGGTTTAACCTCCCCGAAGGAGACTCCGCCCTTCGGCGTAGCCTCCTTCGGGTTCCTCTCGCCCGTAGGAAGAGAGTTGAACCGAACAGTCTGTTCAAAAGTGAGCGACTGATAATATTCAGTCACCCCCCCACGAGGGTGTCATGTGGCACAAGGCCTTTTAACGTGGGCATTCCCGAGCCATTAGGCCCGGCCAAAAAATAGCCCATTTGAACCCGTATAAACGGGTTCAGGGCCGGTTTAACCTCCCCGAAGGAGACTCCGCCCTTCGGCGTAGCCTCCTTCGGGTTCCTCTCGCCCGTAGGAAGAGAGTTGAACCGAACAGTCTGTTCAAAAGTGAGCGACTGATTCCTTGCCTATTCCTGAGGAGCAGTATTTATTAAGCATGGAATAGTCCATTATTATTATTATTATGGCTAAGATCCCATAACACTATCTATCTATCTATCTCTCTATCTATCTATCTATCTATCTATCTATCTCATTCTTTTTTATCTGTGTATCTCTCTATGGCTTTTCATATCTATCTGTTCATATCTATCGCTCTGCACCGGGTTTGATGTTTTCATACTTATCTATCTATTTACATTTATCTTAGGTTATTAATATCTATCTATCTATCTATCTATCTATCTATCTATCTATCTGTGTCTGTTCATTATTTATCTATTTATGTATGCCTGAAGGGATGAATTGTAAGTCAGTGTAGGAATCCTAGATGGTTCGATAATCGTATTATATTCTGGTAGGACTTTTTTTAATTGTCTCCATATTTTCGGTATACCGGGTCTGTACCGATCCTTCAACATCTGTCTCTATTTCTAGGATGAGGTATTTTCATTGTTAAGGCTGTTGTCCCCATCTGTATTGTCATATTCACGACGTTTCGGTCGCTGTACACTCCGACCTTCATCAAAATTGATTGGAATTTCGAATATCAAACCAGATAACATTCCTACACCGGTGCAGAGACTTAATCCTTTCAGGCTCGGCACCAAAACTTCCTTTCAATTCAAGGAGAGCTCTTCTGGTCGCAAAAAATGCGGCACACTTGTCCGAAAAAGAATCCACTGCAAGCATTGGATAAAACAGAAACTGCAGTTTTATATCTCGCAGAGGTTCGAGACCTTCTTCGACGATTATTTCTATGATAAACGTTCTGACTAGATGCATTACATAGTTCCACCTGTCCTTTCACTCGTAGCTAACCCCAGCCATGTTACATACACTGGGAAGAATCATCTTAATTTTCTTCATATTCCATTAGTAAGAAGGAAGTTCCACTCAGACAGCTTTTTCCCAAGAGCTGACAAATTGAATTTCAAAAACTCAAAAATAACTGAAGTGAGTTTTCATGTTGCCTGTTTTACCCCTTCATGTCCTCGGCTAACTTCGCTTGAATAAATACAGACTACATCTGTTATATCAGTAACTGCACGAGGAAGAAGAATCAACGTATGTCTCTTCTGTCCTAATGTCCCCTCGACGACTGAAACAATTCAAGGTTAACATTTAAATACTAGACCCCAACAGGACCTTGCTGATTATGGCTCTCTACAGCTTCTATCTCTTTATTATCTGTGAATTGTAATGACTTCTTTTCTGTGTGTCCCCACCTTACTAGATAACGACCTTTCATATATATTCAATCATTACGAACAAATGGCTTTTACATCATAAAGGGCAACACTTAAGCTGCATGAATTTTAAATGCTTATCTTCATACATATTTTATTTATAATATATATTTCTAATTCAAATTTTTAAAAAATGGTCGTATATGAGCAATGTTTACTTCAATGTTTTCTTCTTCTACTTCATCGTGTTTGTATAGAAATAATTCTATCACTCATGTCATTATTCTATCGTAAGTTAGAAACCTACAACGTTCGTAATAGTAAGCATTGTTATCGTCTGCCATTTCCCATTACTACAAATTAATCAATCGGGACCAACAGAATTACAGAATTATCTAAATTATGTGTCTGTTTAATTAGATCTTCCTAAAAATGTAACGAATTATTTAAACAATGGAAAATACTAAGTCTGATGAATTATTATTACAAACATTAGAAAATTCGTCAAATATTTCTCTAGTGATCAACTGTATGTAGCTATATCCAGAGTAGACAATTCAAATGAACTTTGTATAAAGATAAAAAATATTTTTTTAATCATATCACTCAAGCCAGGCGATTATGCCACTAAGACGCAAAGGTTACTGGAAGTGTAAGAGAATGAGAAAACTAGTGAGGAGAAAGGAAAATAAAAGAAAAGGTTTTAATAAACGTTGTGATAAATATGGCGACAAAGATGAGGACAATAATCCGAATAATGTAAATAGTGTTACAGTTACATCTAGCTATTTCAACAGTAAGGAATAAAGGATGCCATACGTTTCCTAAGCAAAGATTTCGCCATAGTTAGTTTAAAGATACGAATTGTGTGAAAATAAATGAGAATTGTTACACTCGACAAAAGGAGCCTCTTAATATTGTAAACGATAATGGGTCGAAACCTAGTTGCCATTCTAATAGTACCCTTAAATTCACGCCGTTCAAGTACTAAGAATAGAAGTGGGTATTAGAACGATAATTAAATAATATGAAAATAATTAAAGTAAATAAAAGGAGAAACTATACGACACTGAAAATGTTATATAAATATGTTAGATAGGTATGAGAATGTCTATGATAACTTTTCTGTTCTGAGAATGGGTATTTGCCTAGAATATAAAATATGTCGATATATTTTTTCATTTTCCCGCTTTTAGAAAAAGGTGTGAAGTAAAATAATGCATAAAGGATGCCATACGTTTCCTAAGCAAAGATTTCGCCATAGTTAGTTTAAAGATACGAATTGTGTGAAAATAAATGAGAATTGTTACACTCGACAAAAGGAGCCTTGTAAACGATAATGGGTCGATATTGTCACTCATCTGTCTTCGTTTGTCGGCGTTTACGAGGAAACGGAGTCATAAAACGAAATAAGATGGACGGTTGTGCCAGCCGAGCGGAGCTGATAATTTGTGATATGTGCCAATGTCTTTTTGGCTGCACAGATCGATCAGATAAACAAAATAGTTTTTAAAATAGACAGGCGAAAACCTGAGCAGGGAAACTACAGTCAAATTGACCATTCCGATAGGAGCCTATAATTCCTTTGACAAAGCATTATAATTCTTTGCAGCCTTTAAGCAGAATTATATCGGGTCGGGGAGAAAGCCTTTTGGTATTCGTTCTTGCTAAATCAGCTAAATCTGACACTTATCGTAGATCACAGGGCAGGACTCGGATCACTTATTCGAGTCCATACGCCTAATTGTTTTCTATTTTTTCATGTGTTGTACAGTATATTTATTCAATCCTAGATTTTGTCGTTTCGATACACAATAGGCAGATTGCACTAATCACAAAATTGGGTTGGCCTGAGTCTGAACGAGATTCAAAAAGCTAAACATATGTCTGCTGTATTCCTCCACATTTTAAGCACTTACAATAATCTCCTTCAGTAACCCTCGATCCTAAGTAGCTCTTGGGTGCTGTATTGGGTTTGGTTTGGTCTGGTTTACGGCATATCAGCCTCAATGGGTTATTTAATGCCGACAAGATTTTTATTACTGGTAATACTTTCTATCTATCTATCTATCTATCTATCTATCTATCTATCTATCTCAGCATATATTGGTTTGGTTTGGTTTGTTTTACGGTATATCAGCATCAATGGGTTATTTAATACCGACAAGATTTTTATTGCTGGCTATATTTTTTATCTATCTATCTATCTATCTATCTATCTATCTATGTATCTCAGTATATATTGGTTTGGTTTGTTTTGTTTCTCGACATTCCAACCTGAATGGGTTTTTTAATACTGACAACATTTTTATTGCTGGTTATATTTTATATATATATATCAGCACATATCTATCTATCACAGCATATATTGGTTTGGTTTGTTTTCTTTTACCGCATATCAGGATCAATGGGTTATTTCATGCCGAAAATATTTTTATTGCTGGTTATATTTATATTGTTTTGTTTTACGGCATATCAACCTCAATGGGTTATTTAATGTCGACATCATTTTTATGTCTGATAATATTTTTATCAAAAAATGTATTGCCGGTAATAATTATTTACAATAATGTATTGCTGATACTATTTTTCCTCAAAGATGGTAATAATTTTTCGTTCAAAAATGTATTGCGGATAATAATGTATTGCTGGTAATAATTTTTTCTCAAAAATTTATTGCTGGTATTAAAACCTATTTTTACACTTTCATTGTGTTTCGACCCCAGTTTGGCGATTACTATTTGATCATAGTAGGGACCCTGATAGGTGCTACCACCCAGGCTCAGAGTGGACCTGGAAACACCAACAATTAAGAGGTGGCTCCACGTTCCTCAAAACGTCCTGATCAGAGGCCTTGCTGTTAGACGTAGTTAATCATTTTACGCAGGACGGTTGTATTGGGTAAAAATTAGTATAAAAAATTAACTAGCTATTCTAGTGAAGCATTTTCTGAGCAGTGTTCTTCAATCTTGTGTCGTTGTGTCAAAAATAAGCTATGACTATGATTATCTAATCATCAGAAAAGGAAATCTTGGTTTTTTTAATCATTCTTAAAAACATTACTTACCCTTAGACACAATTTTATCTTTCTTCCTTTTTTAATCATTTCAACCCAAGCAAGGCAATAAAACCACTAAGACGCAAGTGGGAAGGTGTTAGAGAATATGACAAAAAATCACTATTAAGGAGAGAGACAATAAAAGAACAAGAATTAAAAAGATAGATAACGATTGACATTGCATTTAAATTTTTGAAGGACATGTTACACTGGGAAATAAGAAGCTGTAAAAGAGTTCCACAAGCGAGAAGTGCAATAGAAGAAAATGTTAGCATAGAACTTACGGTTTCTTTTAGCCATTCTGACTGTATAATGATTAGACTTGCCACCAATCTAGGAATGTGCTTACATTCACCACATTAAAGTCTCAGTATATTAATCCATTAGTATCATACTTTCGATGATTTTTCAGTTATTGCCTAAAATACAATTACTAAATTCTTCATCATTGTTATTATGGTCAAATATATGCGATAAAAGTTAGTTATTAACGGCCAGCCCTTCGCGATCAACGTAAGCGTCCCCCAAGTCTCGCTTCTTGGTCAAAAACTGTATTGAAGTGAACGACTTAAGAGTAACCTCCGATTAATTGTGAGTATACTGATTATACTAAAGGTATTTGGTTGCGCCTACAAAACTCTAGACTGGTAGCTGATCTCTCCTCTGTTCGAGCTCAAACAGCTCAATGCGAGAAAACTAGCTAGCCACATTCAATGCATCGAAAGTCAAACTCCATCATCACCGAGCAGACTTTAAATATCCACCAGTCACGATGAACGATGTTCTCTCCGGGTGGCTGGGTTCCTTAAGCGAATATTGGAACTTAAGCTCAACCCTGCCCTCAAGTGGGGCTAAAGATGCTGGAAAAATTGTCGGTTCCCCGTACTGAGGTAGTAAGTACCTGACTCCTCCTGCTGTCGTCTATCATTGTCAGATGCAGATCAGGCCGAAAATGTAGTACTGCTGTCATATATTGTCCAGTCTTCAGTCGATAGCGTCCAAAAACGCCTCTGCGTCCAAAAACGCCTCTGCGTCCAAAAACGCCTCTGCGTCCAAAAACGCCTCTGCGTCCTTGTGTGTGATGAAGTATTTTACAGTCTACAACCCCTTTCTGACAGTCGTTACGCCTTCCGCTGCTTTTTGCATGGGAAGTGTTCAGACGAACTACATTCCAACAGTTCTAAGTTCACGGCTAGGAACCACTGTGTCCCTCTCTTAGTAGCGAACCTGGAACTGGTTTTCCTCGTATCCGGGTAGGTTTTATTATCTCTCAGTTGTGTCTCTCTCTTCAGGCAGATTGCGACTTAGTTGCGGTTCCGTCAGAGGGCAGAGGCGTCATTTGGGAAAAATAACGGTGAAGTAATGGATAGTGTTTCGGATTTAGGGATCGGAGAGCCGATTTCGAATGCCAGTCGAATCCACGTGCTAATAACCTTATGTATGAATCCTCTTCTTCTCCCCCCAGCTATGGGTAAATAGCAGGACAGACCGGGTTCTATAGCCTTGGATGGCAGTTGGTCTACCATAGAAAAAATGGCAACATACTGATGGGAAAAATCTGCCTCGAAAGATACATGATCGCTTAAGTGTGTATCCTGCATGGTACATAAGTGACTGAAAACTGTGAGCTGTCTGTCTCTGGGGAACAGCTGCACCCTCTCATGGCACTAGAGACAGGGATCGGTACTAGCACCGAGACCAGGGCACCGAGACCAGGGCACCGAGACCAGGGCACCGAGACCAGGGCACCGACGGTTGCGGGGGCTCGGGGAATTTTTGTCATTGGCCCGAGGGTACGCGCTCTGGTCCCCCACATTAAAATTCGACCTTGTATCACAATTCGCCTGCAGTGAAGCGTCAGGGTGAATATACATTGTAACGAACCACCTTCATTACCTTCGTACCACATTGGTGAGATGTAAGTTCCACTCGAGCAACTTCTTCCCATAAGAACTACTACTCTGTAACCCTCTACCTTGAAGGGCTCTTGGTTCTTTTACCTTGTGAACACCATTGTAATAAATAAATAAAAATTACCCCCTTTTTAAAATGTTAAAAAAATTGATTCTGACAAATAGTGTGTGCAGTTTGATGTCTAATGAATGCTAATCTACAAAAATTAAGGGCTTACGTATATTTCACGTTGAAACACCGATTACCGTATGATCACCGAAGTTAAGCAACGTCGAGCATGGTCAGTGCCTAGATGCGTGACCGCTTGGGAATGCTGTAAGCTTGGATGTGCGGATGATATAATGGGTTTACGGACACATCACGCTGAAATACCGGTTCCCGTAGAACCATCGAAGTTAAGCAACGTCAAACATGGTCAGTCACTTGAAGGGTGGCCACTTAAGAATTCAGGTGCTGTAAGCTGGTATGTGCTGGCTGGATAATGGTTCGGAATTGTTAATCACAGAGTTTTAATTCCAGTTGTGCTTGTGATATTCAATTACTCGCAAAGGAAAGGTAGGAGACCCACTCATCTATACCAGCTATGGGTTAAATAGTAAGACTGTTATTATTGTGATTGCATCATTATTGTTTTCCTTAAATTATTATTATTATTATCTTAAAATATTTTCCAGCTTTAAATGACTTGCAAAGGTTTGATAAGCCGAAGAAAACAAATCTGTCAACAAAATTAATCTTCACAAAAAAGCTATTTCCTATTTAATATAGCGGACCCATCTAATTATTGATCAATTTTCAGTGGACTGTGTAGCGTCATTCAAAACCTTGCTAGTTGGTCTCAAAGTGTGCATCTATACTTCAGTAGTTTAAAAAAAAACATTCAATCAGAATTTGTCTTTTCATAAGAGTGTTTATGCCTGTATCCCAGAGGGTTGAAGCTTTTCTCTTGGTTGCTTCTTTAGAAAATTCAACTTCTGTAGACTTTTAGTGCAAGATTCACCGGGCTTTGTTATTGGCATATGGTGATAGACTGACCATGGAACCGGTGAGTTAGAATACATCTCTCTCCACACGTTCAATAGCACTTAGATATCTTAAAAACGTTACCGCTGTCATTTAATGTAAATAGGTTTTTGCCTTTTATTAATGTTTGTCCTTTCTTTTATCGCTGGGGCCAAAGCAATTTATTGTGACTTACAGCATAAAAAGGCATTGATGTGTTCCAAGACTTCCCACGTTCAGCCATTTTTTCCTCTCCAAAGTGCGTTCCATTTTTTTTTTTTTTTACCGAAAGCCACAGTGAATGTTTCTACGAAGACGAAAAACCGATACGTTTTCTTTTTCCCATTTACTCTTTGCATTGGCGAATGCAGTCGCACGATATGAAGAAAGGACAGAAGTAATCAGCTGGGAAATTATCAAATTATCTATCTTGTTCGTATACTGCTTTTCAGGCATGCAACATTTTTCCATTAAAACATAGATAGATAGATAGATAGATAGATAGATAGATAGATAGATAGATAGATAGATAGATAGATATGAACAGATTGAGGAAGATAGATATATAGATTGATATGAACATATTTAGATAGATAGATAGATAGATAGATAGATAGATAGATAGATAGATAGATAGATAGTGTACAGATGGCTTTACATACATACATATGAAAAACAAAAATAAATCGATACATAGATAATGAATTGGCTAAGATAAAAACATAGATAATGAATTGATTGAGATAGATAGATAGATAGATATAGATAATGAATTGATTGAGATAGATAGATAGATAGATAGATAGATAGATAGATAGATAGATAGATAGATATTATCGCGAAAGGGAGTTAACAATAGGGACGACATTCGGATGAAAATTTTCAGAAATAAATGAATTCAGCATATATATATATATATATATATATATATAAACACCAACAGTAATTCAAAGAAAGGGAAAACTTATTTTTGTGATTAGCTGTAGTGTGTCCTTGGTGGTTGAGGGCATGTCTGTGAAATTGAGCTACGTGGTTTGGGTGAAACTAAGAAGTCGATTTGCCCGGAATGGGAAAATAGAACTCTTCTTGTGGAAACCACATATCGTGGTTGAAGAGAGAAAATAAAAACGGAAAGGTGTTTCTTCACATTCCTTTTATAGAAATTCAAACCAAACCACCTAACGTGGTAATCCTTATATGCAAATACAAAATAATACTGAACTGTCCTACTCTGTTCTTGCAAGAATACAGTCAGACTAACCGCGTCTATGATTGGGTAGCGCATTCAGACACTTCATATATATATATATATATATATATATATATATATATATATATATATATATATATATATATCCATCTGTGTGTGTGTGCAGTAGGCATCCGTTTATCTAAAGTTAGCGTCCAGTTTGCTCAGAATTTGTTATATGGAAGCTTTGCGCTAACCAGACAACCTGCTCCTACCTCTCGGCTGTACCAAAAATATCGAAAGGAACAGAGGGCATAACATCTGGAGTCGGCTTGGCTGCAGGAGTTTCCGGAAGATTGTCAGTGTTGACAGCTAACAGCTTACGTGCATCCACTTTTTTTTCTCTGGATTTACTCCTAGGCTTTTCCTTATTTGGATGCGGCTACAAGGCCGGCGTGGTTTAAAATCAGAGTTTTTCTCCCCCATGATCAATTGCCTTCTCGGACTGACGAACTGTAGCAGAAACGGCTTGAATCTGAACTTCAATGGCAAAGGGGGACTTCGAAACTGGAGCATGCGGTCGGTAAATCGATTCAACATTGCGATCACTTTTTCAGTAAATTCTTCGATCACTTTGTTGCAGGAAGTATCGGCATCACACTCTACTTTCATGTTCTTCTAAAAGAAGAAGCAATTAACTCATGATGATATGGTTTCTACATCAAGACATGGCATCCCAGTTTTATCAACAGTGAAAAAATAGGCGGTTGAATTTAGGAGAGGATGTGAGAGTTTTCAAGGTGACTAAAGATCTGGGCCTCCTGCAACTGGTACCACTGGGGAAACATTTATCTTGTCCACCATATGGAGATAGATAATAGCCGATTCTATTCTCATATCCCGTGAAAGAGTTGAGAATATTCTGCACAATGAACTTGGCATGACGAAGGTTTCTGCTAAGTGACACCTGATCAAAAGAGTAGCAGGTTGATCGCATCACGGGAAACATTGACATTGTTTAAGGCAAATCCAGCTGGTTTCCGTGAACGTTTCCAAATCCAAGATGGCCGTTGGGTTCATCACTTTGAGCCAGAGACAGAGAGACAATCAATGCAGTGGAAACACCTCTCTTCACCTGCTCCAAAAAACGGCCAATGTCGTTTCAACTGCAGAGAAGGTAATGGCCTCAGTTTTTCTTTTTTAGGATGAAAAAAGGCATTGTTTATTGACTGTCTTCAAAAAGTTCACACCATCAATGGAGTGTGCTATGCCAACTGGATCAGGCAGTTGCGAAAGGCTATCAAAACCAAACACCCAGGAAAATTGGTGAAAGGCGTTTTCTTTCATTAGGATAATGCTCCAGCACACAAAAACTGCTACTGTGCGTGACTGTGGCTTTGAACTGGATGATCATCCTCCCTATTCACCTGATGGGCCCCATCTGACTATCATCTGTTACCTCAACATGATCAAAACACTTGGATGGGAACCAGTATGCCGTGATGATGACGTCATTTCTGTTATTGACGACATTTTTGGAAACTTCTTCACCAATGGAATCCACGCACTGCAACAACTATGAAAGAAATTTGTGGCCTGCAAGTGGGACTATGATGTAAAATCAACCTCACTTGGTTACATTCCATGTGCGTATCATGTTCAGAACTTTCCAGACGTCGTTCATACTTCTTTTCTCAGTGTTATTGAAATTTTCTTTCTCTTGTGCTTCTCACTATGACGAATGTATGCCAACAACTAACACCCACCCCTCTTCACACCATAACCTAGATTACATACGCGTAGGGCGAACGCTAAAATAAGCCCAGCCGAAGCAGCATATGAAAGAAGCAACACGATTGGCCGAGAACAACCAATCAGCGAGCAGAAGATTTAGGCGCCAACAGAAGAGACACACGAGGTGATTCGAAAAATCAGTAGCTGTCCAGATCGTGACGGGTGAAGTCATATCAACTGCAACTCCGAGAAAGTAAGCTGCGACCACACATCCCCTGGGGCAGAAAAGCGAGCCAGACTGTTCCCTTGTGCCGAGAACGTGAAGAGATCGTCCACCGCAGTAGGCCATAGCAACTCCAAACATAGTTACAGAAAGAAGATCCGGCTGCAGACCAGAAGTGAAAGATACGAACCAGATTGAAAATATAACCCCCGGTCACCAGAAAGAGAAGGAGAAAAAAAGACTCTTATAATGAAACTATCCCTTAAATCACAAAAACATCAGATAAGTTCTTGCACCCTTTCCCCGATATAGATTTAGCTCACAACAGACACACGAATATTATGTTCATGCAAACACCATTACACATGTAGGATTAGAATATTAATGAATGTCCTGTTATGTGTGTTGGGTCTTGCATTCGTCGTCGCTCCTCATTTCCCCAAACGTTTGATAGAGATAATATTTCATACAACCCCCTCCTGCTATTGCCATTCATCCCTTCTTTTTGTTCATTAAATTATTATATATATTAATGTCCTTTGTTTCGTTCATCTTTGGTCTGTGGTCAGTTGAATGTGTTACGTAGGGAACCTGGGAATATTAAGTTCAATTCGTTCTAATTGAACTTGCATGTATTTTTTGTTATAAAATCTCTATCTGTTCTGCCAATAATCCTTAACGCCAAGGGAAGCAACCCTAACCCTTATTCTGGGAATCTTTAACGATATGTTAATCAAAGAAATAAGAAGGAATATTATCGTGGCAGGATATATTGATCTTAACCAGGCGTAATCTATCCCTGCGGTGGCAACGTTCTGGGGAGATCTATGATACTTACAAATCTCAAAACTGGAATACAGAAAAATAATGATTTCAAATTCGAGATTCTAATTCATATCTGTCTGACGGAAAACAAAATGAAAGTGTGGGGTCTGCATGCTGCTCTGACGTGAGCACTTAGTTGTGCAGAAGGAGGTAAACAAATGTGCAAAAATAGATCATTACTTCGGTAAGGTTCGGCTGATGTGATTCTGTTGGTATGGATTAAGCAAACCAGTTAGTTTCTAGGACTAACTCGTTTACCACAACAAACTTAGCGTTGCTTTAAGAAGCTGGATGGAAAGAGTGATACGAAGAGAAATAATTAGTTTTAAAATTATCTTTTCGCTCTAAACAGGGCGATAAAGTGACTAAAACACGAGAGTAAAAAGAAATGAGCTAGCGTTATTTAACAGACAGGATAATAAAAGAAATTAGGATTAAAAAGGGCAGATAATGACGACTTATGTAGATTGAAATTAGTTTATTGATATAAAATATTCCCCTAAGTATAGAAAGTATAATCAGAACAACTTATCTCTGTTTATTTAATAAAGTGTACTGTTCCAAATTCCGAACACCTGAAGGCGAACAGAAACGTTGTGCGGATCACGCTGATCTGAGTACAAATACTCTATCTCTTTCTCTATTGATGTTTATCAATACACGTAGTTTTTACAATCATCTCGTTACAGTGAAGTCCATAAAGCGAAAAAGATACAAAGGGTTACTGAGACTCAAAGGAAGTTATTGAGGAAAAAGTATTAAAAAAAAAGAACAATTCAACCAGACAGAAGATGGCGATTAATGTTACATTTAAATTTTGGAAGTTCATCTTTGACATGAAAGCAAGGAGCGGGAAGAGAGTTCCAAACACTAAAAAGCGCGTGAGAGCTATTTTAACAGTAAAATGATGAGCCGAAACCGCCAATCTAGTACTGCGATTGAAGTCGTGACGTCGAAGTGTCAAAGAGGAAAGCAATATTTATTTTGAGTAATACAAGACTGTGACACAAGGCCAAAATAACGGAGGTGAAGGCTAGTCTTCTGTCCTATAATTAAACCTAGCTATCCATAATTGCTGATCCAAACTTACCGCAGTATTCCTTCAACCAAAATAACACATTCTTACTTACCATTCTTACTACACTCACCATAATACCTCAGGTCTCTATGAAGTCTTAACTAGTCCCCATATGTACAATTTTTGTCTGTAAATGAGGGAATAAAATAACTACAATTTTTTAAAAAATCTGACTCCAATGTGTATTTACAATGTATTTTAATATATCAAAAAGGAAATATTATCAGAGAACTCACCCTGAAAGTATTTATATAAAAGCCGTATTGAAACTACACTACAATGATTGGAAATTGATTGAAGCCAAGATATTGAGTCAAGACCGGTAAAATTGCAGATTCTTCTTTGGATTTTT